AATAACTTTGGCCTTTTCTGGAAGCGTCACGTGGCTTATCGTCCAGACGGTCTGCACCCAAATAGATATGGCACCAGCTTGTTGACGGATTACCTACGCCACGTTATTCAGTGTTCCCCGAGGGGGGCGTGACTGTTTACATCGGAGCCCCCACCACCACCACCCTCCTCCTTCTTCTCCTGCTCACCAGCACCGGGTGAGTACTGTGGTGCAAACACTGACCCCTTTCCGTCTGGCAGTGAAATAACAGTCTCGCCTCTGAACCGTGCTGCCTCCTGCTCTAAACAACGAAGCAATGCCGTCCTGAATCCGGGACTTACACAGCAAAAGAGTTCACATGTTAGACAAATAGAAACTCTGTGTGTTCCTCGCATCAGTTTCAAAAAATGTTTTTATTTGAATGGAAAACAAAATCATAACAAAAGGACAGCAGTTAGACATTCAAATCTAATTCCTGCTCCTTGTAAAAATCAATTAACTAAACCCACTGTTACTGATATTAATTTTAAAATTGCTATGCTTAATGTCAGATCACTGTGCAACAAATCATTTTTAATTAATAATTTTATCCGTTCTTATGATCTTGATTTTATGTTTCTGACTGAAACTTGGCTTGACCAGAGTACAGGTAATGCGGTTTTAATAGAAGCAACGCCACCAAACTTCAAATTTGAATCTGAAATACGAGAAAATAAAAGGGGGGGAGGCATTGCTGCATTATTTAGAGATCGTATTATCTCTCATAGAATTCTCCTTGGAAATTTTCTATCATTTGAGTATATTTCTTTTAAAATAGAACAAAAACAATCTCCTTCTATTCTTATCATTGTCCTGTACAAGCCACCGCAGTCTTGTCACAATTTCTTTGATAATTTCACTGAGTTGCTTTCAGTTGTTTGCACCGATTTTGATAGTTTAGTGATTACAGGTGATTTTAATATTCATGTGGATAATGGCAATGACAAAAATGCAAAAGAGCTGAGTTCTGTACTTGAAACATTTGGTCTCACTCAGCACGTGAGTGGCCCCACCCACAGCAAAGGGCACACTCTAGACCTGCTGGTTACAAAGGGGGTTAATATTTTAAATGTAAATGTGGTTGACGTGGCTCTGTCAGATCACTTCTGTGTATTTTTTGACATGTGTTTTGATAGTAAACAACCATATATATCTGAATCTGCAATTGTCAGACACAGACACATAAATGAAAACACAACCGAACTATTCATGGGAATGATAAACTTTGAGAACACATTGTGTTCTGCTGTTGACGAATTGTTTAACTCTGTCACCGCCAATGTTATAAATGTTCTGGACATCATCGCTCCTGTGAAGGTTAAAATGATTACAAATAAGCCAAAGGCCCCCTGGACTAAAATGGACTCAGTCATGGTACAGAAGAGAGAGTGCCGTAGGGCCGAGCGGAAGTGGCGAAAATCCAATCTCCAGGTTGATCATGATATCTTCAAAAATGAGTTGTGCAAGTTTAACAGGGTGCTACGTAGAACAAGAGAAATTTATTTTTCTAAAACCATTGATGGCTGCAATAATAATCTACGACTTATGTTTTCAACAGTTAACGGATTAACAAACCCCCCTGTTCAGCTGCCATTCGAATTTGCTTCAGAATCTAAATGTAATGAGTTTGCACAATTTTTCAATGACAAGGTTCAGAGCATCAAAAACGCCATCACCTCCAAGGCAGAAATAACATTACAACAGCCGGTGAGGCTGTTTGAGCTATCGCACTTTGCACCAACAGATAATGAAACTGTCCAAGATGTTGTCTCTAGCCTTAGTTCCTCCACATGTAGCCTGGATGTACTACCCACTAAATTTTTTAAGTCTGTTTTGAGCAGTCTTTTACCTTTGCTCACACAAATAGTGAACATGTCTTTCTCATCTGGAACATTTCCAATGGCCCTGAAAACGGCAGTCATCAGACCCCTCCTAAAAAAGAGGAGTCTAGATGCCACAGTTCTTAAGAATTATCGCCCCATTTCAAATCTGCCGTTTATGGGAAAAATTCTGGAAAAAGTTGCTTACCAACAACTTACAGAATTCTTAGTAACTAATAGTTCGTTTGATGCGCTCCAGTCCGGCTTTAGAGCCAATCACAGCACTGAGACTGCACTAGTGAAGGTTACAAATGACATCCGACTTAACACCGACACAGGAAAAGTCACAGTTTTAGTAATGTTGGATCTGAGTGCTGCGTTCGACACAGTCGATCACGAGATCCTCATGCAGAGACTAGAGCACTGGGTGGGTGTCACTGGGACTGCCCTAAGTTGGTTTAGGTCTTACCTAGAAGACAGGAAATACTTGGTTCAGATAGGAAACTGTGTCTCAGATCATATGGCTCTGACCTGCGGAGTGCCACAGGGATCAATTCTGGGGCCTTTTCTGTTCAATATTTACATGCTGCCGTTAGGTCAGTTAATACGCTCCAACAATGTATCCTACCACAATTACGCTGATGACACTCAAATTTATGTCTCACTTACTGCAGGAGAACATGGACCAGTGGAATCACTCCTTCACTGTACTCAACAGATTAGTGATTGGATGCAAAATAACTTCCTTCAGCTAAACGCAGACAAAACAGAATTGATTGTCTTTGGTCCTCAGAAACAAAGAGAGAGCGTTATTCGTCACCTCCAGTCTCTCTCCCTGGAACCTGTAGGCAAGGTCAGAAACCTAGGAGTTATAATGGACTCAGACTTAAATTTTAACAGTCATATCAAATCAGTAACATCAGCAGCATTTTACCATCTGAAAAACATTGCCAAAATTAGAAACATAGTGTCTAAATCAGATCTGGAGATTCTCATCCATGCATTTGTCTCCAGTAGGTTAGACTACTGCAATGGCCTGCTCACAGGTCTCTCCAAACAGGCTGTAAAACAACTGCAGTATGTCCAAAATGCTGCAGCTCGAGTCCTGACCAGGACCAGGAAATATGACCACATTAGTCCAGTTCTCAGGTCTCTGCACTGGCTTCCTGTGGCTCAGAGAATAGACTTCAAAGCAGCACTGCTTGTGTACAAGTCTCTCCATGGCCTCGCACCAGGGTACTTAAGCGACTTGTTAGTCCCATATGAACCGACCCGGACTCTGAGGAGCACAGGAGGTAGCCTCTTACTGGTTCCAAGAGTCAGAACTAAACATGGGGAGGCAGCGTTTGAGATTTATGGAGCTAAAATCTGGAACAATCTTCCTGAAGATGTGAGGCTAGCATCTACTCTGGCAATTTTTAAATCAGGGCTAAAAACTGTTCTTTTTAGCTGTGCATACGGCTGAAGGATTTTATTGATACATACTCTTTTTTTTTAATGCATTGTGGTTATTTATTATTTTAATCCCGTGTGTGCTTTTAATATTTTAAGTTATTATTTTATTTTTATTTTTTTTCTCCATTATTTGTGATTTTATTCTGTTTTTAATGTATTTATTGATGTCTCTGATTTGTGTGATATTATGTGGGTTGTGAGGCGCTTTGAGTGGCCTTGTGTTGGAAAGGCGCCATACAAATAAAGTTGATTGATTGATTGATAAAAATGTGGGTTTTTTAGAGCAGTTTCATCAGTTAATTTAATCTACTTGGATGGATCTGAAGTTGCCCGATTATCACTTCTTTTCTCACTACCTGCTAACTAATGAGTTGCAACAGGAAAGATTGACTCAAAAACAAATTTGTTTTATGGATTTTTTTAATCCATGAAAAAGGATTTTGAAAATATAAATCACTTTGACTCAATTCAAATTGTATTTGTTTATAAAACAATGGTATTTAGAAAAGAATAATAGCTGTAAAAGCTATTATAAGGGATAATAGACCTATTTTGTTGGTAGGAGCTGCGGCTGTCACCTGACCATCTCCACTGCCTGTTTCTGGTGTTGCTGTAGTTGTTGACGTGTTTCCAGTATTTGTTCCATCTTCATTTGCAGATGCCATTGAAAGCAGAGCTGCCTCTGCTGCTGAAGTAGTTGCTGAAGCAGTCATGACTGCTGCATTAGCTAATGAACTTAATGTATCTACCAGATCTTCTATATTATCTGTTGATAAGCCTGTGAGCGCAGTCTCTGCCAATGTTTCAGCTGCTATTCCCGTGGCACCAGCCATTTGAGCCACAACTATGACGCTTTGAAGATTGGCTTTATCATTTGAACTTAAACTTGGTTGACTTGATAGAATGTCCTGAAGTCGTCTGGCCCCTTTGCTTGATTCAGTGGCCACAGATTTAGCTGCAGCTGCAGAATTTGTCAGTGTATCCATTGTTGCAGAACTTGATGCTGCTTCAGCTGCGGCTTTGGCTGCTTTGTTTGCTGCTTCAGCAGTGGCGTAAGCTATGGCTGCTTTTTCTGCCACGTGATTTTTTTGGGAAGGAGGTGCTGTGTCTGCTGCATTTTCAGCAGAACGAGCGGCTTCTTTGGCTGCCTCAGAGGCAACTCTGGCAGCTTCCACAGCAAAATCTAAAGGAGCCAAGTCGTCCAAAACTAGCTGAGCTGCTCTGGCTGCAGCTTTAGCCGCTGCTGTAGCTGCTTCTGCAGCAGGGTGAGCACTTGGTCCTGCTGAGGCTGCTGCGGCTGAGGCTGCAGCTGCTGCGGCTGCAGCTGCTGCTGTTGAGGCAACTACTGCTCCTTGTTTAGCGGCGGCCAAGCCAATGGCTTTTCTTTCATTAGGGTTAACAGTTAGGGACACAGATGAAGGTATATCTGTAGCTGTTCTTGCCAATGATTCCTGAGAAGCCCTTGCTGCAGCTTGTGCTGCTCTGGCAGCGGATTTAGCAGTCGGTGTAATAAGTTCAGTTGAGTTTGTTACTGTAGCATTAGCTGCTGTTTCTGATGCAATAGCGGTTGCTTCGGTCATATCTGCAACTATTTTTGCTACTTGTTTTATTCTTTCTATTTCAGAATCTTGAGTTTCAGTGACTGATGTCAATGTTTCTAGTGATGCAAGTGCTACTTTGCCCACCTCCATGGCTGCATTTGCGGTTTCAATTACCTCCTCTAATGATGAAGAATCCACACTTGCTTTTGCTGCGGCTTCTGCCGCTCTCCGTGCTGAAAGTGCTGCTTGGCTTGCTTTCTGAAATAGAGTTGCTGCTTGGGAGGTACGGACAAAAGGTTTTGCTGCATTAATGGCCCTATCTGCAGCATCAGCTGCATTTGTAGACGCTATTGCAGCCACTGTCAAAGGTTCATGTCCAGCTGCTACAGCCGAGGCAGCATCTGCTGCCCTTAGAGCTGCTGTCACAGCTAATGATATATCTTGGCGTGGTGCACCAGAGGCAGAGGCCAAAGATGCACATAACGCTGTTGCGGCTGCTGCTGCTGCTGTAGCTGTTGACACTACTGATCGATCTGTTCTGGTGACAGGTGCTGGAGCCAGTGGAAGGGCCAGTTCTGCTGCAATTGCACTAGCTATTGCAGCCTCGGCAGCCGCTTTGGCTGATGCTGACATATTATCAATTGTCTCTTCTTTCGTAAAACCTGTTGCCGCTATAGCTGCCAGTGAAGTAGCTTTTCCCATTTCTGCCACTGCCTTTGTTGCTAAAATTGAAAGCCGAGTAGCTCTTGTTCTTGGAGTAAATGGCTCATTGAGAGAATTTAGAATTCTATCCAAAGAAAAGGAAGCCTCATCCAACGATTCAGAAACCTCTCTCTCTGCCTCTGCTGCTCCAAATATTGATTCATCTGTACCAGTGGTGGCTTGTTGTGCTGCATCTGCTGCCCTTGCAGCTTTCTTTTGTAAATCTATGGCTATAATGAGAAGTTCGTCAGCCAGAGGTTTTAAAGATACAGGTATTTTAGAAGCTTCTACTTTTGCTGACTCGATAGCTTCCAGAGCTTTATTTGTGGCTTCCAGTGCTGCTTTGGCTGCTGCTGATGGTGGGCTCCTGTTATCGGCCACTGATGCCGCCACCATGGCTGCTACCCTTGCTAATGTCATGGATAATTCTGCTGTGGGGGAATCTTTTGCTCCTACCAAAGTGGAAATAGATGCTGCTGCAGCAGCAGCAGCTGAGACTGTTGCAGCGGCTGCTGATGCTGCTGCTGATGTTGTGACAGACGTAGTATTTGGGTCTTCAGTATTTTTATTTGTTGGGGCTGTTGTAGTAGAATTAGGCATTGAAGTAATAGTAGTACTTAGGGGATTGCAGTTGTCAGTAGTACAGCAGGTGCCTTGGATAGAGCCAATGCTCTTTAACAGAGGGGAGGTTGCTAAAAAGGCGGCAGCAGCGCACAGGTTCTGAGAGGCACATCCATGAGCTGGGACTTCAGTAGCAGAGTTGGGCAGTCTCACTGTGAACAGACAGACAACACCTTGTTACTATGATAACCCACAACACACTGTCACTTGTGCATTGTTCAACATATTTTCACTATTTAATCTGTAAATCACACAGTACATTAACACTAAAACGTGATGTATTCCCAAAATACCGTGTCGTGGTAAGTGAAAGTACAATGCACATCACTTAAAACCAATGAGGGCCTTCATCTACTGCTCCCAATTGGTCCCCTGTTGTGTCAATCAGTTTGTTAACCGATGAGCATCTCTCCTATACGCTACAGTTTAAAACATATAAAGAGAGCAAAAAAACTGTTAAGTGAAAAGTGAATCTAGTAAGTGGTTTTCACAGCCGAATCAGGATGTGTTTGAAAGTAACACTTATTACCTACTATTTTCCTCTCTGTCAATGTCCCCTTTATGATAAATGTATGGGGTTGGCTGCAGACAGTATTTTATTGAGCCAGCAGGTAGCAGCAGCGCTCTGTTAGCCTGGCTCTGCCAGACTCTTGTAGTTCCGCCATGCTCCACCAGAGGAGTTTGGCTGAACCACATGGGTCTGGTATCGACGCCATAGCGAACGCCTTCCCCAGATTATTTTTTAATCGACCAATCAGGATTGCCGGTGTTACGTGGGGTTTGCACTGCCTTCCCAAGCTTCTCTCATTCCGCAGCGGGAGGAATCCAAGATGGCGGACGTAAAGTCCGCGAATCTTTTTAAAAGAGTAAATACGATCGAATTAAGACACGGATGTCACTTTTAATGCAATTTGAGGCGAGATGTTGATGGTTCTATGTTGATATATGTGTGTTTTAAGAGTCAAATGTTCCTGTAAAGTTTGGTTGAAGCACTGGTTCAGTGTTCCTGTTTACACACTATGCAGCAGGGTTGCCAGGTTTGGTGGTTCCCGCATATTTTTTTCCAAGAGACTTGTAGGTATTAAATAAACAGAAAGACAATAAACAGAATCATGATAGCCCAAGTTGATTATATTACGTTTTTTAGCCAAAAAATCCTTCTGAGTGTTTTTTTTGTGGGTATTCTCGCGGATTTTGGGTTGGAAAATCTTTCTGGGATTTGGCAACCTATGGGAGCCGTGTGCTTCGATGTGAGTGGTTGAAAGCAGACTTCATTCAAGATAACGGACAAGTGGTCTATCCAATCACATACAAGGATTTTTTTTACAAGGCCCTGCCTTCTGAAATCCAACCACTATGGCTCAGTACCAGACTCATGTGTGAAGTGAACTACATGGGTCTGGCAGAGTCAGGCTAGCGCTCTGTGGGTGTTAAATCAAAGGATACACAACTTGTTGGTATGAGCTCTTGTGCAGGATAGACAGTTGCAAAGCGAGACACAGAGGGCTGAGAACAGGCACAGGCTTTATTTGGTGGCAGTTTCGAGCCGTAAAGGTAAACTGGACTTTGGCTAACACTAATACTTCTTTATTCTGTGCCACCTAACGGATGAATACTGGGCATTCTTTCTGGCATAATTTGCCATGGGTTCTACTTCCAATATGTAAATGTTGATGTTTTTTTGGTACTTTGGGGATGCAAGTGTCATAAAGCATAATATTTTGTGATCAAAAGTGCTTTCTCAAAAGTTGTTTTATAGTATGCGTTTGATTGTGTTAAAGTCACTTTACTGTGTGTGTATTTTCAGACCTCACTAGTGATCTCAGTAAAACTTCCCTCTACTCGACTGGGGATTACAGCAGAACGAAGCAAGCTAGAAACAAACTTATTTTTGATGATGAAAGTACACCGACCAGTTCTTTCAGATTCTGGTTTCAGATTCCATATAGTCATAGTACACTATATTCTGTCGTGGAAAAACAGTGAAAAAAACGATGTGGCCTCACAGCAGCGCTGTCCGAGCCGTGCATAAAAATACAGCTTCAGGAGGACTGTAAACACTGTCTTGAGGGCCTGGAGGCTTTCATACATGCCAACATTAACGGTTTTGATAATAGCTTCATGTGATGTGTTAGGAGCCTACACGCGCAAGACAGCAGCTCCTCCCAGACTTGATGCCAGCCGCACACAAACTGTTCTTGTTCATCCCAAGAACAGTATTTTTGGTTGATTGATACTAAGAGCTAAATAGATGACAAGATCAATATGGCTAATTGCATCTCTGGTGGGTCCTGGAACCATTATGAAATGATTAGTAGGGCTAAATCAACCCCTATTTTTCTGCAGGGGAAGGGACCAATAATCTTTGCATTTTTGGAAGAGATCATGTCTGCTGCTAGTTGACAGAAAACATTCTCATTATCACAAGATGAGTTCCTCCAAATCAGGGTCCTCCTAAACACAAGAGAATAAAATGTTCTAACTCAAATGTATCAACTCTGCACCTCCTGGTGTGGGAATGTTTTGTCACACACTGACAGACAAGTTTTAAACAGCTAAACAACTTGGGGTCAAACCAGCTGACCCCAGATGACCATGCACAAATGTATTCAGCAGATTGCAGTAAAACAATTAAAAATAAGAATCATCAAGTGTCCCCATGATATTAAGAAATGTCATGTAATATTAAAGCAAAAAAAGAAAATAAAAGTTAACAACTAATTTTTGAATGATAAACATTGAATGGGGTCAAATTGACCTGTAGGACAATAAGAGGGTTAAAGACATGAAATTAGTGTTTTGTATTACCTTTTTGGTCGTATATTATACCATATAAACACCAGCTACCATAAGTGACAAGAAAGGTATAAAAATTATATGAATGGGCCAATTTAACATTCATTCTGAGGTAGTTTGGGGGATGTCCATTTAGGTGTTCAGGTGCACTTTAGCCTCTGTGCTCAGTTTATGTGTTGAGCTCACCTGTGGATGAGAAGCAGTTGGTCTCCAGACTGTTACATGTGACTGCCCCTGAGCTGCACACATTGGTCAGAGGGTCACAGCCGTAGCACTGGAGAGAACCTGCTGCAGGGTTTGTTGGAGCTAAAACAGATTAGAAAAGAATCTATCAAACATTAGTCTGCTAAAAGGTCCAAACAAAACAGTGGTCTAAACGGTCACTCACTGGAAGCATCAGCACTGTTACAGTCGTCAGAGCCGCTGCAACATTCAGCTCTGCCCAAAACACTAGAAGAAGACACGTCCAGTGAAAAGTCTTGGGTCCCTTCAGCTGGACAGATACTGGGGGCTGCACAGCCTTTAATTATCTGAGTGAACGGACCATTGCTTGTGGTTGCTGTGAACAGAAATATATAAATCATTAGCAACGACATCCTTTAATTCTTGTAGAAAACAACTTCTGACGTAATTGTTGATTATTTATGTACCTGAAATGATGGCAGAGAAGCACAGGTCTCCGTTGACGCAGGGTAAAGACGTTTTTACTATACAGTTTGTGTCACTTGGGGAGTCACAAGTAATACAAGAAAGTCCATAAGCTGCAGAAGACAAAGACAGATTAGACTCAAACAGATTTATAGTAGGTCTAAATCTGCTCTTATGCAGGAGTAGACGAGGGCCATAGTGCAGCTGATATTCACCTGTGTTGACGAACAGAGCCACAGTTAAGGCCAGGGACAGCAGCAGCTTGAGCGCAGTCTTCATGTCTGGAGATGTCTTCAGGCGTGTTTCTTTCTCCTGTCTAATGTACCTGTGTGTGTGATTGTTCTGATGGATGCTGCACCTGTCTGACTCATTTTATACAAGAAGTGCTTTGGGAGGGAACTTTGCTCTGACGATCGCCTTGTTCGTGTTTGGAAAATGCACCACACCCTTTTATCGTCACACACAACAAAAACAAATCTGAATAATAATGATTCCTAAGCTTTTAAAAACTGGTTGTACATAACAGGGCATTTGACATCATACATGTTTTATTCAATATAACACCATATCCTGTGCTTTTAAAGGTTCCATTTTACGCTTTTCTTCATGTTTCACAGTCCATCCTATGTGTTTTGAGTACATCTCTTGTATAGAGATGACGTCACCTCGACTCAAACAGGCTGATCCAGAGAGCAGTCTGCTCCTCTGTTCATGAGGGCGCCTCCCCCCGCCCGCACGGCGACGTAGCCTCATGCTGCGAGTTGTTTACCCTCCAGTACATAGTCATTTTAGACCTGTGAATAAACTTTTTCCAACAATGAAACTTTTTCGACAATGGATCGAGCCCTATGTCGTCAATCCACAATAAGACCTTGATTATTTAGTTTACAGAAGTATTCGGCGAGTTAGCGTCACTGTACTCACAGATCGGGGGTCCATGTTAGCAACTTTTATCGTAGGACACACACTGGTTTCCAGATCAGTTTTTAAGTAAATTATATATTTTATTATATATTATTATATAATAAGTTCCATTGTCCCTGTAGTTCTTGAACAGTCTCAGTGAAGTGTCTCAGATGAACAGATTCATTTGAACAGAGGCAGATCCCCGAGAGTCAAGCCGCTTTCTTCCTCTTTGGGCCAAAGAGTGCGTCACATATTTACACCCAAAAACACATTTTATCCAAGTTGACATGATCCCTTTTAGTTGTTGACAAAAGCAGAAAATGCATGAACACTCTTAGTCGTTGACAAAAGCAGAAAAACAGTAGCTCCATGTGGTGTCCGCGAGACCAAACCACAGAAACGCTGGGCTCGGGAACCGGACTTGGGAGCTGGCTGTGCGCTCTGATTTGCGGTGTCAATTTGTCAATCACCTCCTGGATTTTAGAATTATTATTATTTTAAACCATTTTAAATACAAAGCAAACAGGCTTATGTGCGTCATATTCGTCATCAATGTGGAAATCGTCATGAGCGTTTCACTGCCTCTTGAGGGTGAATGAGAAAGATTGCTCTCTAACTAAAGATTGACAGAATAAATAAAAAAACTACTCCGGGCATGTGTATGAGGCCGAATAGCACTGTAATCATGTTTATAGCAGAGAAAAGTCAAAAAGCGTAATATGGGACCTTTAAAGTACATAGTGCTTAGGAAGAGATTCAGTAAGTAAGTACAGTGCCTTGCGAAAGTATTCGGCCCCCTTGAACCTTTCAACATTTTGCCACATTTCAGACTTCAAACATAAAGATATAAAATTTTAATTTTTTGCCATGAATCAACAACAAGTGGGACACAATCGTGAAGTGGAACGAAATTTATTGGATAATTTAAACTTTTTTAACAAATAAAAAACTGAAAAGTGGGGTGTGCAATATTATTCGGCCCCTTTACTTTCAGTGCAGCAAACTCAGTCCAGAAGTTCAGTGAGGATCTTTGAATGATCCAATGTTGTCCTAAATGACTGATGATGATAAATAGAATGCATCTGTGTGTAATCAAGTCTCCGTATAAATGCACCTGCTCTTTGATAGTCTCAGGGTTCTGTTTAAAGCACAGAGAGAACCATGAAGACAAAGGAACACACCAGGCAGGTCTGAGATACTGTTGTGGAGAAGTTTAAAGCCGGATTTGGATACAAAAAGATTTCCCAAGCTTTAAACATCTCAAGGAGCACTGTGCAAGCAGTTATATTGAAATGGAAGGAGTATCAGACCACTGCAAATCTACCAAGACCCTGCCGTCCCTCCAAACTTTCATCTCAAACAAGGAGAAGACTGATCAGAGATGCAGCCAAGAGGCCCATGATCGCTCTGGATGAACTGCAGATAACTACAGCTGAGGTGGGAGAGTCTGTCCATAGGACAACAATCAGTCGTGCACTGCACAAATCTGGCCTTTATGGAAGAGTGGCCATTTCTCAAAGATATCCATAAAAAGTCTCTTAAAGTTTGCCACAAGCCACCTGGGAGACACCTTCTTCCACCAAACATGTGGAAGAAGGTGCTCTGGTCAGATGAAACCAAAATCAAACTTTTTGGCCACAATGCAAAACAATATGTTTTGCGTAAAAGCAACACAGCTCATCACCCTGAACACACCATCCCCACCTCAGCTGTAGTTATCTGCAGTTCATCCAGAGTGATCATGGGCCTCTTGACTGCATCTCTGATCAGTCTTCTCCTTGTTTGAGATGAAAGTTTGGAGGGACGGCCGGGTCTTGGTAGATTTGCAGTGGTCTGATACTCCTTCCATTTCAATATAATTTCTTGCACAGTGCTCCTTGAGATGTTTAAAGCTTGGGAAATCTTTTTGTATCCAAATCCGGCTTTAAACTTCTCCACAACAGTATCTCGGACCTGCCTGGTGTGTTCCTTTGTCTTCATGGTTCTCTCTGCGCTTTAAACAGAACCCTGAGACTATCAAAGAGCAGGTGCATTTATACGGAGACTTGATTACACACAGGTGCATTCTATTTATCATCATCAGTCATTTAGGACAACATTGGATCATTCAAAGATCCTCACTGAACTTCTGGACTGAGTTTGCTGCACTGAAAGTAAAGGGGCCGAATAATATTGCACGTCCCACTTTTCGTTTTTTTATTTGTTAAAAAAGTTTAAATTATCCAACAAATTTTATTCCACTTCACAATTGTGTCCCACTTGTTGTTGATTCATGACAAAAAAATAAAATTTTATATCTTTATGTTTGAAGCCTGAAATGTGGCGAAATGTTGAAAGGTTCAAGGGGCCGAATACTTTCGCAAGGCACTGTATGTAATGTTTATTTATATACCGCCTTTCACAGACAAGGGTCACAAAGCGGTTTACAATTGTTATTATTTTCATCAATATTTAAACACATTTAAACTGTAAGTTGTAATAACAGCCTTGTGAGTCGAGAGGCAAGTATTTGACACGTTGGGGTGAGAGATAATTGAATGACTGGTGTTACCGGTAATAGGCCATGTCAGTATTTTATATTGGTATGATTTTTATTTTTACAGGGACAGTGTACATGGTACTGCTGATTTTAAACTACAGCCTGGACAAAATTGCACACATATACAGACATAGTTGAGGCGTTCTTTTTACATGGTTGCCCAGTCCAAGGAGAAAATGTCCTCACTGAGACATAGCACAGAGCTCGGGCTCCTAGAGGGCAGATCTGACCTCAGACCAGATCACAACTTGCTTTTGGTGGATAAGACATACAGTATGCATATAAGAATAGAAGAACCAACAGAACAAAGGAAAAATAAGACAAGACCTTCCTTATTAAAGAAACTATACCCAATTTTTTTTCTAAGTAGTTGTTAAAATGCTTATTCCTACATACAATGCAATTTGAGGCGAGATGTTGATGGTTCTATGTTGATATATGTGTGTTTTAAGAGTCAAATGTTCCTGTAAAGTTTGGTTGAAGCACTGGTTCAGTGTTCCTGTTTACACACTATGCAGCAGGGTTGCCAGGTTTGGTGGTTCCCACATATTTTTTTCCAAGAGACTTGTAGGTATTAAATAAACAGAAAGACAATAAACACAATCATGATAGCCCAAGATGATTACATTACGTTTTTAGCCAAAAAATCATTCTGAGTGTTTTTTTTGTGTGGGTATTCTCGCAGATTTTGGGTTGGAAAATCTTGCTAATACAAGATTTATTATAATCCGTAATTTAATTGAAAACTTGAGGTAATTGATTCAGCTGTGTAAGAATTACAAGCCGTGAAAAGTGCTGAGTAGAGTCTGAGCGGGACGTTCTCCTCCACTCACAGAACGAGCAGTGAACAGCCTGCGTCCTCTAGCCTCTACAGCGCTGCTAAACACCAGGGCTTCGGCTTCGAAATTCAAATATAATTCTAAAATTAAAAAAATATATATATATTTGAACACATATTAGACCGCCCTTACAATTCCAAATGTATTCAATAACTGCAAATAAAATAGTTATCTCCCAAAGGTTGCACCGGGACGTGCTAGGCAGGTAACAGCTAAGCTAGCTAGCTCCCTGGAACTACATGTTAATGGTTACTTCCGGGTTTTTCGCGATCGCTTTTTGTCACATCAATCAATCAATCAATCAATCTTTATTTATAGGGCGCTTTTCCTGCACAGGGCAACACAAAGCGCCTCACAGTCCACACCACACAATGCACAAATCATCACCATTAAAATACAATTAAAAACACATATGTAATTAAAAAGCATTAAAATCACATAAGTAATTTAAAAACATAAAAATCACACAAGTAATTAAAAACAATAAAATAGTTAAAAACACAAAAAGTTACAACAATAAATAACAAGGTGTGTTAAAAAGATAAAATTCTCTAGTTGTATGCACGGGAAAAAAGAAAAGTCTTTAACATGGATTTGAACATTGACAGAGAGGCAGCCAGTCTCACATCCTCAGGAAGACTGTTCCAGACTCCAGCTGCATAAATCTGAAAAGCAGCCTCCCCCTGTCTAGTCCTGACTCTGGGCACTAACAGGAGTCCCGTCCCTGCGCTCCTCAGAGTCCGGGCTGGTTCATATGGGACTAGCATATCATGGATGTACTTTGGTGCAAGGCCATGGAGAGACTTGTACACCAGGAGAGCTGCTTTAAAGTCTATCCTCTGGGCCACGGGAAGCCAGTGCAGAGACCTGAGGACCGGACTAATGTGGTCGTACTTCCTGGTTCTAGTCAGGACTCGGGCTGCAGCATTTTGAATATACTGCAACTGTCTTACTGCATGTTTGGAGATACCTGTGAGCAGGCCATTGCAGTAATC